AGGCCTGGGCGGAGCTGCGGGGGGAGCTGGTCCATATCAGGGCTGAGAGTAAGGGGAGCAGCACCCTGGGGTCTCTCAGAGTAAATGTCTTTGTGTGTGTGTTTTGGGGAGGGGGTTCCAGTCTTGCACCTGAGGAGCTGCGAAGAAGATCAGTGGACAGCATCTCAAAGACCCAGCGAGTGCATCATGATAGAAAGAAAGAGGGAACTGATGAAGGAATGCTTATTTGTCTGAATAATCGAGATTTTTTTTTTTTTCTTTAACTAGCTGTGGCATGGTGGACAAAAGTCTAGACCTGGAGTCCCGTGGACCTGGTTTGAATCTTGACTTTCATAGAAACAACACTGCCTCAGCTTCTCCAGCAGAGAAATGGAGATGATACTTTTGCCCTGTGGTTATTATGAGGCTCAACTAGCTCAACATCTTTTACTGAGCATCAATTAATTCATAGGCCAGATGCTGGCGTAAAGAACTTTCAACAGACAGCAGCCATCACTAAAATGCAAAGCACATAACAGCAGCGCACAGAAATGCTGGGACCCATACAACAGGCCTTCGTGTGATTCGTATCTTTTTCATCTGATGCTCCCACTATACTGTAAGCTACATGAGGGTGTGGTCTGACCTAGATTGTTCACAACGTCGGACACACAGTGGAAGCTCAACACATATCGGTTTCGGTGACTGACTGACTGAGTAAATCATTAGCCATTCTAACTGGCAGATGCCTGGGATAGGAAAAAAAGACAGGAAGGTTGAGAGGTCAGGTCCTGCCCTAACCAGCGTTGCTCCTTCGCCTGCACTGCCCGAGCCCGTGCACTCAGCTCTAGCCTAGCCAGTCCCCAGGGCCCACAGCAGCCACATGTGGCTGTGTCCACGTTTACGTTCTGTCCTGGAGTGAGAGTTCACAGGTGAAACGTCCCTGGCAGACGGTTCTTAAGTGCCTTTATTCTAGAAAGGACAGCAGTGCTCACATCCTGCATTTAATTAGGCCTGCTCTTTTAGCCCTACCGAGTTGAAACAGAAACAGAAGTTATCAGTGGGAAAATGAGAAACCCCACGGAGATTGTGACATCTCCTTAACTTTGCCGTAACTAAAGAATTCAGGAACATTCTCATGAGACTCCATCCCATTTGGGAGGGAAGTGAAAAAGGACTCATTTCAAATGTGCACCACAACCTTACAACTGATTGTGAGATGAAAAGTTATTCTCACTGTCTATCAACATAGACACAGACAGCTCACATACATAAATCATAGAGTTGAAAAGACTGGCCTAGGTTTGGGTTCTGGATCCACTTCTTGTTGACCATGTGGCCTTGGACAAGTTACTTAACTTCTTGAAGACTCAGTTTTCTTTTCTTGGGCAGCATAAAACCCAATTCTTAAGGTTATAGAACTATTATACATAAGATAGTATATTAAAAAACCCTTAGCATTGTCTTTGGCTCATTGTAAGCTCTTAATAAATGGTAACTGTTAATATTATTGTCATTCTATCATCTACATTGTATAATTTATGCTGTGTGTGTGTGTGTGTGTGTATAAATAAATAAATAAAATACTACATTCTGCAGTGTAAATTGTATAATTCCTATCCAGCCTCAGGTTCCTCAACCCTGGCACTGTTGACATTTGGGCTGGACAACTCTGTGGGTTGTTCTGTGCATTCTGAGATGTTTAGCAGCATCCTTGCCCTCTACCCAATCGATGCCAACCATACCCAGTTGCAACAATCGAAATATCTCCAGACATTGCCAAAGGCTCCCTGGAAGGCAAGGAAATCCCTACTTTACCTTTCATGATTTTTGCAAGAATGAAATGAGGAAAAAAAAAAAAAATTAAATGCTCTAAAGAAGTGTTATAAAGTAGGATTGTATTATGATTATTTTATTGGAGGTTGGCTACTCAGGGACAATTAGAACAAGCCTTGCCTTGGAACAATAGCCAATGCTGACCTGCTTGCTTCTTTAATTCTCAGCCTGGGGAGCCACGGCCTCCCTGTTCTTTAATGGATGTATTTGTGGCTTGGCCTGAAGGATTCAAGAGGAACTGTTTTCTTTCAAAATGAAATAAAAATGTTCTTTTTTTAAAAAAAAAAAATTATTTTTGTAAGTGGTGAAAACTGCCTTGTCATCTCCAGATTTAACTTTCATCTAAATTTATCTCTCAGATGACAAGAATGAACCAGTCCTCAGAATTTTAACTGTGTCCTCTGTAGGCTGATATTCAGAAAGAAATATTCTGAGGGTTTCCAATGTCACTGCACTGATTGATGCTGTAATAATAGACTGAGTAATACCATGATAAATTTCTTCATCAGCAAGAGACCATTTTTTTTTTCATGTCATATTATATTACAGGAATCGGTGTACTGGTATCCAGAGGTTGAGCCTATTGTCTTTCTTTTATTTATTTCTGGGAAAAAAAATCTTTAAATGGGAGATAGTAGAATGTCTGGGAAAAGAACATGAGCTTTGAGTTTGGTTAGTGCTTATATGGATAGATGATGGTTCAAGGGCCAATCCCATCAGTTGTGTGATTCAGACAAGTCCTTTAGCCCTTCGGAACCTCAGTGGAATATGTTTATAACCACCAACTGCACAGTACGGTTCTGAGTTTCAAATGGAGATGAATACACAAAGCAAGGAGCATCATGCACGCACATGGAGCTGTTTTGTAGATGCAGGCGATCTTTCTCTGTCCACATTCTGAAAGACTGTTCAAGGATGTCTTTTATCCCCAGAGTATGAGTTTGGTCTGATTGCTTCAGGAAGGCCAATGCAATGAAAACCAGTACTTCTTAGGGATCTAATTTAGAGTCTTGACTTTAACTAATCATAATCAACCTTGAATCACATTATCAAGAAATCTTCTAGTTTATGAGCAAATCCCCTCCATACTTCTGATGGGTATTAGTTAGAAATTAAGGGTCAGAAGTCACCTAAAAGACAACTGCATTCACCCAGAGTGGAGTGAACAATGTGTTTCTTCCTTAAAAGAATGCATCTGGTCTCCTTAAGGACACACATCAGCATCCTGAGACAGCACAGTAAAGTAGCAAGAAGATGGGCTTGGGGTCAGACAGACATGCCATTAACTAGCTGGGTGACTGAGCTCTCTGAGCCTCAGTTTCTCCATCCGCAAGGGTCAATAATATCTATCACAGTGTAGGGGGTGAGCAGAAAGAAAACCTATGAAGATGCCAAGCACTGTGCCTGGCACGTGGATAGCGCTTAGTAAGTGCTGCTTTTCTCCTTGGCTTCCTGGCAGATCTTTGTGTCCTACCTGTTTACGAGAAGGGATGGGCAAACCAAGTCAATCATTATTAGCCTAGATTTTATTGTCATTCCTTTCCTATGAATGTGGAATACAGCATGCAGGGAAAGTCGTAAGTTATTAAGTGTAAAGCATTAAAAAAAAAGCAGGATAATTTGCTTTGAGGTTTCCAACAGTGGCTCTGGAGGAGTTAACATCATAATTTGTTCTTTATGCTGCAGACAGAGGCATTTTAAAGCCCAGCAAAAGGAGTCTGGTCACCTCTTTCTCAAACTTGGCATGTTTACCACCCATAAAACCATGTTGTAGGAGAAGACAATACGGTAACAAGTAACATAAGAATAAAATTGTAGAATAATAGTTTCCTAATTTTTCATCTCTAAAGGTTCTTTTATATATATATTTGTGAATCTTCACCCGAGGATATTTTTCCATTGATTTTTTAGAGAGAATGGAAAGAAAGGAGGGAAGGAAGAAAGAGAGAGAAGAGAGGGAAACATCGATGTGAGAGAGATATAGCGATTGGTTGCTTCCCCACTCGCCCTGACCAGGGCCAGAGATCAAACCTGCAACCCAGGTATGTGCCCTTGACCAGGAATCAAACCTGTGACCCTTCGGTGCATGGGTCGATGCTCTAACCACTTAACCACACAGTCCAGGGCAAATATTTTTATTGCTTTCTCTTATGGATCTCTTTAGTCTGTTTTAGCTTCCTCTCCTGTGTTCCATGAGGTTTGTGCTAACTTCTAGCGTACATACTGCACTGTGACTGTGACGTGAACCACCCCCTGCTCCATAGCACATTCTCAAACAGTATTTGGCAAACTAGGAGCAAGCATTCCCCTACGTACACAGACTATTCACTACTGACAATGGGTTCTTTTTATATATGTACTATATAATAATTATAATAAATAATATTCATTAAACATCGGCCATCTTCTGGACATCACAGGGCTTTTCAGTTAACAACTCGCTTATTTTCACAAAAACCCTAGGTGGATGTCATCATCATCTCTGCTTCACGGCCGTGGCTTCCCAGCAGTGACACCCTGACTGTCCCCCTCGGCCTGGAAAACTCAGCTGACATTCTCTATGAGAACCAGGATCAGGAAGATGACTCCAAAAGAGTCCCAAACTCCAGGTTTCATCAACATTCCCATTCTTTTTCTCCTACCCTCCAAACACTTTCTAGACAAAGGGACACACTGTTTCGGGAATTTCATTGTCTTTCTGCAGTGAAGGAATGAGACGAAGGATGCAGTTACCCACAGATTGTCCTAGGTAACTGAGTAATAGCTATAGATTGCTCCTACCTTGTGGGTGTTCTCAAGGACACAGGGAAAACAGGTCTCTTTCTGCTTCCAATACACCTGCGGTGCGACCAAGTGCACTTGGACCTGGACCCGGTGGGTAATGTCTTTCTGTCCGTGAACGGTTGTGCTAAGCCGTGTCACCTGTGCCCCCGAGACCTGGTACCTGCTATACCCACCGACACAATGGCTGCAGGAATAAAAGCAGGTCACTCTTGGAGAGTGTGCTTTGTTACCCTAAAGTTGTTTTATGGAGAAACAACGAGGTTTAGCCTAAGACATAGTTTGAGATGAAACGAACAGCATCAATCTCCTTTGCCCCTCATACGTTCTCCTAGGAGAAGGGGTGGAAAGGGGCTCTTTGAAAGCTGACCGGACTACTGTCAAAGCAATGACTTGCTATTTACCACAGGCTGGGATGTCGCACAGGTCGGATTTAAAGTTTTCATCCAAGGTGAAGCACCAGGGAGCTTCCTTCTGGTTCCCTGGGTTGCGGCAGTAGGAGTGTCCTCCGTTCAGCTCCGGGAAGCGGAGGGCGGTGAAGGTGTGCGTGTGGGGGTACTGGGAATTCCACGGCTGGCACTGGCGCCCCGATTTGGTGACACTGACAGTGCCCCGGTAGTCCACACCTGTGCTGTTATAGCACTTGTGATCTGAAAAACACAAAAGCAAAGCCCAAACGGTGAGAAAGAAACAGAGGAGATGCTGGAGCTCCAGCCAGCAGTTTTTGGATGAAGGACACACATCGAAGCTCACGGCCAAGGCTCCCTGCTGGTCGGGCGAGGCGGGCGGTCTCCCCGCCTGCTGGGCTGGGCCACAGGGCCTGCCTCGCAGTTTCATTCCTGGGAGGATTTAAAGCGGATGCTTCAGGAATAAAGCCAGTGCTCCACAAGAATTTTTAATATTGAACATAGAAAAAATCAGAACTGGGGCACAGAAGTCATTTCCTAGTGAACAGTTCAGGGAAGGTTCAAGCTAAACTGTTCTTTCCTCTTCTGCTTGCTGGCCTCAGATATGAACCATGTGATCAAGAAGCAAAGTCACAGGGAATGTGGATTAGCGGCAGCGCGCCTCGGGTTCCGGCAGGAGTTCAGGCATCTCTGTGCTGAGGAACTGGGCGCCCTCGAGAAGCAGGTCCCACTGAGCACTGCTCCCAGGGGACCATGGGGGCTGTTACTCGAAAGCACCGGGAAAAAAAAATCGATTGTGTTGAAATAAATGGAAATTTAGAGAGGCAATGATAAGCTGACAGTACTAACAGTAACAATGATGATATTGCTATTATTATGTGCTAAGTATCGTTCTTAGCATTTTAGATGCATTAAGTTATTTAACCAATAAAATAGCATTAACTACGGAAAGGAAAGGAAAAAAAATTACCGATGAGTTTAATTCTAGATGAATGGGAAATGTACAAGGAACAGTCTTTAGCTCGATGGTGGGAAGAGGACAGGGGAGGAAGGCAAGCCCCCCCATACATATATCTTTAAAAATTGTGGTACATATACATACCATAAAATTTACCATTAATGCTTTTATAACATTCAAAATATTGGGCAACCGCTACACTATCTCATTCCAGAACACTTAACTCATCCCCAAAGGAATCCCTACACTCACTGAGCATTCCCCTCTGCTCCCCACCCCTTCCCCAGCCCCCCGCAACCACTAATCTGTATTTTGTCTCTATGGATTTGTCTATTCTGGATATTTCATCTAAATGGAATCATACGTGGTGTCTGGCTTCTTTCACTATCATAATGTTTTCAAGGTTCAGTCATGTTGTAACAAGATTTTATTCCTTTCTACAGTAGAATAATAATTCATTTTATTCCTTTTTATGGATGATTAATATTTATTCCTTTTTATGGATGAAAACTACCTATTGGTTTTTATGGATGAATAATATTTCATTATGTGGATATACCACAATTTGTTTATCCACTTATCCATTGATGGACAGTTGGGCTGTTTCCACCCTTCGGCTATTGTGAATAGGGCTGCTATGAACAATTGCACACGTTTTTGTTTGAACACCTATTTTCAATGCTTTTGGGTATATACCCAGGAGTGGCACTGCTAGGTCATATGGTAATTCTAATTTTAAGTCATTGAGGAACCAGCAGCCATATTTTAAAATTATCATCTTCATGCAGCTTCTTGAAGGTAGCCCACACACGGTAGGTATTTAGCCCATTGGTAGGTAATCTGACTACTAATAGAAACCATTACCGTGGATTAAAATCCAGTTTTCACTGTGCCTTGGGGTTGCTGGCCTCCAAGGCAGCACAGAGGGTCAGGGGCTACCATGTACTTATGTCGTTGTTGTTTTTTTAATTGATCTTAGAGAGAGGGAGGGAGGGAGGGTGTGAGGAAGAGCCAGAGAGAGAGACAGAGAGAAAAAGAAATATCCTTTGGTTGCCTCCCACATGCACCTTGACCAGAGATCGAACCTGTAACCTGGGTATGTGCACTGACCGAGAATCGAACCCGCCACCTTTTGGTGTATGGGACAACCCTCCAACCACCTACTTTTATTGATAGGATCCGCCATGGGAATTCCGATCCGGATACAGTTTGCAGCTTCTGGGCTCTCTGGCTGGGGGAGATCTTCACAGTTTGGCAGCTTCAGCCTCATCAGGATCATGGGATTTGATCTTGCAAAAATGTACTCCGTTTGACACAGGACATTTTCCAGGATTTCACATTCATCGCGACACAGGTCGCGGGGTTTTGGGACGGACGAGGTTTCGTCACAGTAAGGGAAGGCATAGTGGCACAGGGATGGGATGGCAAACTGAGAACACTTATCCGACAAGTGACTGGAGGTGCCAATCATGGTGAAGGCAGCTGGAATACAAACACAGTTATCAACTCCCAGGGCCAGAGTTTATCTTTAGTTATCTAGTCAACAAATATCAAATATAAACACCCACTGGAAGGGATCTGCTGTGCTCAAACAGACAATCTCCTTCTTGAATCTCCAAGAAGGAGATTCATTTCAGATGTCTAAGCGGCTGACTTTCACTGGCTTGAAAAAAATCATTTTGACTACAAAGTTCAAAAAACACACCAAAAAACAGGATTATGTTACATATGTACTGTTTCCTAATAAAAAGAATTAATTAGGTTAAAGTACAATATATTTTTCATTTTTACTACAAAGCGGCAGAACTGTGTGTTTCATCCAGTACTTTTTTATTAGTTTTGTGAGGTTTCTGAAACAGTAGACAGCTGCAGAGCAGGGCTCGCTCGATGCGGTGGCTGAGCCCGAGCACAGGATCAGCCCTGGGCTTTGCCTCCTGGTTGGTGGACGACGTTGGGTAACTTGTTTAATTTCTTTGTGGCTTAAATTCTTTCTGCTCCTTCTTCTGAAAAGGAGGCAACTCACTTAGAAGTTCTCACAGGGCACGATTCCGTTGTTCCAGCGAATATGAAAGATGTTACTGGTCGCTTGGCCTAACCTCATAGCCAGTAGCGTCTCCAAGTACAAAACGAGTGCTGGCCTCCCTCTGCCTTCCTCCACGGAGGAAGAGCTACTTCACAGGCAGCCTAGGATGCTGTTGGTACACTGTTCCCAAAGAGTGTTCCTCAGAACAGTAATCATGTAGAACAGTAATAGTGTTGGAGACACTAGGGTTCCACAGCCAAAGAAGTCTGGGAAATGCTGGGTTAAAGTTAAATGGATTTTTAAAAACTGTCATCATATTTTCCAGGGGGCTGATGTCCACGGAACATGTTACAAATGGGTAACTAAATCTTTATAACAGAACCCGCAATGATTTTTGTGAATACTTAATACAAATTATGTCCCAGGGTCTCACACTAGGCTGGAATGTGCCTTCGGCAGCTCCTCCCCCTGGAGAGCCCGCGGGCTTCAGCAAGTAGCCACCACATGTTCCCACTGCTGCCTCTCGGGGTCAAACAGCTCCTGCGCCGATTCTGTGTTCCTTCGAATTGCTCACAGGACATCGTTTCTGACCTTTTGCTGTTCGATGTGCCTACCTTGGGTTTGTTTTTGCCTCTCTTAAACCCCAGGGTCGCCAGGTAAACTACAAGTTACTCAGTTAACATTTGAATTTCAGATAAACATTTGGGAGACCCTTCTTTTAAAAAACAATGTGTTGCTTATCTAAAGTGCAAATGTAACCGGATGTCCTGTATTTTCATTTACTGAGGCTAGCAACCTTATTAGAACCTCACAAAGGGCATTTGAATGGCTGGCAAGGGTGAGTGAGGTACAAGGTGGCCGTAACCGTCAGAACCAGGTGTACCAACCCCCTCCCTGCTGTGTGGGAGAGAGTGCTTCAGCGTTAGCTAGCCGTTAGCGATGCCTTCCCGTCAGCAGAATGAAGGGTAAAATACAGAGCTAGAGCAGGAAGACCATCTCGCCTCATCCTTCACTTCACAGATGAAGAGAGAGATTTCCCTCAAGTCACCGTAATGGCAATGTTTAGAATTCTAGGTGCAAAACTCATTCCCTTTCAGTCTGCATGATGTTGCTTCCAAGTAGTAAGCTCCATGAGGGCAGACACAACCTGGTTGATTCAGCACACCATCCTATACACCAGTGCCCAGCCCAGTATCTGGTACACCAAACACATCCAGTAATATTGACTGAGTGTTTAAATGAACGTGAGGCTTTTCAAAGCTTCCTTTTCCTCTAAGAACAACCTTCAGTAAACTATTTTAACGTCAATTCCAGAGCGCAGAGATTATATCTCATGCTTCTTTATGGCCCTGCTTATAACCCCTATGCCTAGCCTAATCCTTTGTCAACAGAGGAGCTCAAGAAAACTACTGGTAAGAAAAATAGTTATTCAAGGTATAAATAGAATTTCACTGGTGTTACCTACCTGTGATCTGATTTTCTATTTCTCCTTGCATGTGCAAAGACTCCATATAGACAGTGCGGTTGCCAATAAATCTTGCACATGCAATGCCTCTGTATGGCTGACAGAATCCATCTTCTTCATATTCATCTCTAAAAACAGAGCATAGACATTAACTGATGCAGTCTATACACACACATGCAGTTGGATAGGACTGTGCAATACCCTAGACAGTCACTAGGAGGCGCAGTTGGGCACAGGATCCTAAAGGCTGGGCTAAGGAATCAGGCTTTTGCCTCAGCCCCATCCATCACTTAAAACATCTGTTGGTCACGTTGGTCAAGTTTCCTTCACCCCCAGAAAACCATCTTTAAGCACAAAATCATCCTTAAATATGGGAGAAAACACTTATTTTCGCAGCTGTGGTGAGCTGCAAGATGATATAGTTGTAAGAGTAAAGAGGAAATGCACTGAAAATCTGTCCTACAGTTTTTTGTTTTTGTTTTTCAAACACAGATAACTTCTGCTTCATTTGACACACAAGCATGGGCGCACTATGCACAAGGTCCACTCTGACGGCTGTGAGGGAGGCGGCTCTGGGGTGAGAGCCAGGTGCAGCTGGAAGGGGACCCGGGCCCGTCCAGGTGCGCGGCTCCTCAGAGCTGAAGACCCGTCATCTCTGGGCTGCAGAGAGAGGACCGGGCAAGTCGGGGACTGGAGAATTTCAAATGAGTCACTAAATTCAAGGTCATCTAAGAAGATGTCAATGGAAACCTTGCTTTCATGATCCCCTAAAACTTTAAAATATAATCTTCTAAAAAATTTGCTGCCTCACAATAATACTAATAATAATTTTCATTCAAAAAGTGGTATTGGGGTGGGGGTTAGATTTTTATCCTGAAGACAAGAAATTGACTAGAAAGTGAGTCAATTAGTGATGGTATGGCAAATAACTAGAGATAAAAGGCTAGAGTTTAGGATCCAAGATGGTAGGTTCAGCTCCAAAGGACAGAGACCATAAACTGCCATTAGGGCCTATGATAAAACAAGACACCCGAGTACAGAGCACCCACTGTTTCTCAAAGGCAGACTACAGCCAGACAAAGGCTACCTTCCATGCTAATGGGCTGACTTGCCCCCTGGGGGTTCCTCCTGTTAACTGGGCAGGAATCAATACATCCTCTAAACAAAATATCATTTTTCCTCTTTGGTTTCTTTTAAGTTAACATCCTTTAAAGCCCAAGTCAGGAGAAACAAAATTCCATTCCTGGGCTTAACATTCACATATCCTTAGGCAGGCTTCTCTGAACCTCTGAGCCGTAAGTCACAGTTGACCTCTCTACCCTAAAGGTGAAAACTCATGAGGAGCCTATCAAATCATGTAAATGCTTTTAAAAAGTGCTACACAGAGGTAACATGATGATTATTAAAGCATTTACAATGACCAGAGAGGGCGTTTATTTTTAAGGATAATTATTTACTACACTCCTACTTTGTAAAATGGACTGTGGTCAGTGCTATGGCCCTGGACTTCCCCACTTGCGGGGGGTGGGGTGGGGGTGGGGGGAGTCCAGTGTGGGAATCTAGAAAGCCCAGTATAACAGAAAACCAGATGAAAAACAATCTGATAGGGCTGATCCTTAAGACACTAGTTTTCAGCTGCTTTCTGCTTCCTATTCACTAAAACAGTCATTTGAGAGTGGAGATGGGGGAAGTATCTTCAGTTGAGTCCTGAAAATAGCCTGTCTTGCAAAACTCCTGCAAACATAACCTTTAAGTAGGACTACAAACCTATATCACATACCCGACATAAAGACATTGAAATTTTAATGTTGCAAAATCCTGCAAGCACTCTGCATGTTTACTTTCATAAATCCTAGAGTAATGTTGAAGTCTTTTTGGCTTAAATTTTACTTGGGTTGTAAAATTAACCCCACTTTTATTGGGTAACTAATACCATAAACCCATAGGGAGAAAGAAGGTTCTGGATGACCTAGCCTTGAATCTTGGAAACCGCAGTACTGAGACACCCCCCACCCTCACCCCTCCTATTGCAGCTGATGCCTTTCTATCCCTAGGCATTAGTAGAGCCCCAGATTTTCAAGGTGTCATTATGAGAACACCTCTTCCTCCCCCACACTAGGTTCTTGAGGCCTCAATTTATATCTCTTGGGAGGACAAAACCCTGGAATTACCCCCAGATATAAATCCCCGACCTACTGAGAGTTCCCATATTTTATATGTGAGGCTTAGGCTAAACTTCTTACCACCTTTCCAGTTCAAGACTCTAAAAAGCCTCTTTGAATACTATTCTTTTCCCCAGAATAAAATGGAATGCAACTCCTTGGCTGCATATTTCTTGTCAAGAAAAGGCTTAGAGCTGCAGGTGTATTGAATTTTTGACTGTGCACAGAATTCCTGATATTCTGGCCAGTCTCTTGGGACAGATATAAACAAGCAAAGCAAAGCAAAACAAAAAAGGCAAACAAAAACAAAAAAATGGCATCTGCTCAGGAGTAGTGCAACCCTGGCTGCTTACCCAAATCTCCTCAGGAGGCTTTCAAAAACCCCAAGGCCCAGCCCCACCTCGTACCTATTAAATCCTCCTCTCTGGGGACACAGTTTAGGCATTCACGCTGTTAAAATGCGGTTGAGAACCACAGCACTAGAAAAACAAACAGGTATTAAGTGCCTGCCATTCGCTGGGCTGGATGCCGTGCTGAGCGCTTTCTTCAAAGCTGCCCCTGTGCAGTGTTATCACCTTTATTTTTCAGAGGGAGACACTCACATTCGCTTAAGTAGGTGGCTCAAGTTCAAAGCCAGTAAGTAGTAGACAGAGGACTTCAACTCAAAATTTAAGCTCAAGCCATTCCACTGTATTGTTAGATCTGTAATGATGTTCTGCTGTTCAATACCCCTCTTAAACTAAAGCAGTCCAATTTATGAATAAAGGACTTTATCAAGTGCCTTTATTTTGTACCAGGCATGAAATTTCACTTACATAAAAAAAACGAACATGAATTCATTTAATCCTGACAACAATCTTCAAAAGATGGTGAAGGTGTCATTATTCCCATTTTACAAACGAGGAAACGGAGGGTCAGGAAGAGTCAAGGACTTGGCCAAAGTTACAGAGCTCGATTTGCCCCAGCCTGGTGCTCTGTAACCATGGTCCACAGAGCCCTTCCAAATGGTTTGCTTGGGGACGTTTTGGCCCTGCTTACGGGGGCTTTCTGCTGTGAAGATGCCGGGTGGCAAACATAGTTTTCTTTTAAACCTAAAGTCACAACTGCTTTTCATCCTTCCCATTTTTCCTGCTGGCTTGGGCTGCAGGGAAACAAATGCCCCTCCAGCATTAATCAGCTTCATGCTTCCCTCCAGCGCACACTTCTTTCATCATCGACGTCCTCCGTGCTCAGCAAATTGAAACCATGACGCGGCTGCAAAAGCACAAGGGCACTTGCAGTGAGCGTGTCCGAGGCCGCCTTGCATGGGGAGGAAGAGTGGGCCGGGAAGGGGCACGTGGGATTTTGGCCATTCATCACAGCGGCTGGCACCGACAGGCACCAGCCACGGGTGATGTCACGACGCAGGGCCGCTTTGCGCCGGGAACTCATGTTTCTCATCAAGGTAATTTAGTTACCACATCGCCAGCCTGGACAACCTTCCAGACTGGCTGTCACGTGACATGGAAAGGCAGACACAGTTTGCCCTGCACCTCCAGGGTCGCCCCCTTTCCCCAGGGCAAGGAGCTTAAAAGGGAAGGTCAGAAGGGGCTGGGAGTGATGGCGACCCCTGTGACAGCAGAAGCCTGTGCCCAGGAGGCCCCGCAGACCAAGGCAAGGAGTCTTCCAGTCACAGTGGAAGTCCACAGCCACAGACTCCCAGGCACACCGCTCAGGTCAGTGAGCAAGGAAGAGCATTCTCTGCAAGTGGAAAAGGAGCCGGAGGTTAACATTAGGAGAAATGGGATGAAGTTTATAGTTGACCTTGAACAACACAGGGGGTTAGGGGTGCTGAACCCCATGCAGTAAAAAAATCCAGATAACTTCTGACTCAGAGTCAGTTCTTTGCAGACGTGGATTTGGCAGTATTTTCGATCCACAGTGGGGTGAAACCCACAGATGTGAAGGGCTAACTGTATTCACTGAAAAAAAAATCCACATTTACGTGAAGCTGTGCAGTTCAAACCTGTGTTGTTCAGGGGTCAACTGTATATGGAAACTGTACTATTTTTACAAGTTTGCTTAAATATAAATATATTTCAAAATAAAAAATAAAAAGAAAATCTTATAGGATGGGGCCCGTAGTCTGTAGTGTGTAGACAGAATGGGAGATGCTGCTGTGTGAGAAGGTCCGGAAGGCCCTCAGAAGACTCATTTCATCTTTATCACAACCTTACAGACATCCCACCGGGCCTACCCCGTGGCGGAGTTCCCACCATTAACAATCCGCTTATTTGTTTGAGGCTTGGTCTACTTCTAAATTCAAGTGAGACGATCTATTTGGCCAGAAAGACCTCGGCGTGGATTACTACTATTACTCGCTGTGGGACACTTTCCTCTGTGTTGAAAGCTGGATAGCAGGGAGGGCTGGGAACTTCCGAGAGGTCTGTGCGGGAAGGAGAAGCCGCCTCTCCCACTCTGCACTCGGGTCCGGTCCGGGTCCTGCTCGGCGCCAGGCGGGATGGCAGAGAAGGCAGCCCAGGGAAGCAGGGGTGGGTCACCAGCAGAGGGATCTCTCTCTCGTCTGACTCACCATTCCCTTTGTCACAAAGTGATCTCTTCAAAGCTCGAACTTGATCAGGTCATTTCCCACCTAAGATCCATGTTAGTTTCCCACTCACTTCACTCTCCCGACTGCAGTATCCGAGGTCCTGCCCATCAAGCCTAGGACTCCGATGAGACCACAAGCCATGCTAACGACCCCGACCCCGCCGGTCTCACTTCCAAGGCTGGGCCCGTGCTGCTCCCGAGGCCTGGAACGCCCTCTATCCTCTCTTTCATCACATGACTGCTTTCTCACCTGTAAGATCGGATGCTCCTAACTCCCATGCAAAGTCAGTCACTGAAGCCCCAGGGCCTTCATCACACCACTCACACATTTCTGACTTCATACTCTGCTTATCTGTTTAGTGCCTACCTCTCCACTG